TATATATATATATATATATATATATATATATATATATGTATATAAAAGTGTTTTTGCAATCATATAGCTATGTAATTTTCTTTCTTATTTGGAAATATTATACTAGAATAAAACTTGCATAATTCTGAGTTAAAACATTTTGTAACAGAGCAACTGTTATCTTCCATATTTGCTGAAGTATAATATAAAAAGTTTTGACGGATTGAAAGATATGTAAACATTGACGACTTAATGTGTTATCAAAATCTACAATTAAAAAGAAAATAAATCGTTTTTCTTAATTTAATTATTGTAAATAAGACGTATGTCTTGTACGTCTTTGCTGTACGTCTTGTTGTTTTCACGTGTACATATCTCAAAAGAATATGGACTGACTTACTGGAAAACAAAAGCACAATTACTTTTGCGCGCTGTATATCTGTCAATGTGAAAGAACTGTGCACATCATCACTAATAATATGTATGTATTGTAACATAACTATATAGTATACTATATAGTAACTATATATCTGCATCTATATGTATATATGTATATAAGTATGTATATGCTTATATAATACAAATATATTCTTATACTACATTCTGGATCATGATGATGCTAACCACACCATCATGTGTAACTTTGCGGGGTAATCGATGTATCTGGTCGATAAAGAGTTTCATCAATAAAAATTCTATCCTTGGTAACCGCTACTGCCGTCGTTAACAGATTTCTAGATAAACCAGTCGGGAGCATGCGCAAGATTGTGTTTTTTGATAGAAAATAAGTACTCTGATCTTTCTCAGCATTATAGTGATTGATGTCTATCATGTCTACAGAGTGTATATGAAGAAGCAGCCATATCTCTGGAAAAGTTTACCATAAATTAAAATCATCATATAAAATATTGATAATATTGCAAAACTGCATCAGATATCGTTAATCTTATCAACTATATAGACTCGAGTTTTCGCGATAACGCAATCATAGCGATTCACAACGCCACTTTGTAGCAAATATTTGTTACGATCAAAGACGTGATATCTTCTGCGAACTACTATTAAAAGAATAGAAATCCGTCTATTATTGAAACTTTTTTTCATCACTTACGTGGCAACAGTACGCTCGAATCCCCGCGACAAAGCGATATATTCTCGTATATATATAAAATAATAAGAAAAAAAAGAACACTATCAAATATACTATATAATCTACAATTGTGTGCGATTAAATCCTTAATGTTGTATTTGGAAGCCAGTCTCGAAAGCGAAATACTTACATCGATCAAAAAACACAAATCTCCCTTTCATCATTCGATCAAAATCCTCCTATCTATTTATTTCTCTTTCTCTCTAACCTTCTTTTTCTCCCCCTCTCTTTCTCTCTCTCTCTCTCTCAAAGTTTTGTACACTTCTTCTGAATTAGAAGATGCGTTCAAAGAGCCGGTTCACTTGCGACCAAGAACATAACACGAAACAAAAATTTCTCGTTCTTTAGGCGCTACCCCCCTTAACCACTACGATTACCAAATGATCTTCCTTAAGACCCTCCTCGCTTAAACTAGGGCACGTGCGTTTCAGGAGTTCCGTCGAGAATGCACATGGTGGGAACGCATAGAGCACACCCGTGCCCTCAGTGTCCTTGTTCAACAGCGATATCACACCGGCAGCTTCCTTCTGCTTGAGATAAGATACCAGGTTACGCAATGGACGGGTCTGTACATTGGCGTCATCATTTGTGACAGCTGCGCTCGACCCGGCTAAACCAAGGAAGATAGCGTGTGAGCTGGATGTTTGAATACGCTTGGAAACGTCGTCGAGCTTAGGCTGATCCAAACGCAACCGCTGCGTTATTCGTAACATATGCTTGCCCTCCTCATCCTTCATCAGGGCGTCGATGATCTCGGTCTCGCCGTCAGTCAAATGGAATTTAGCCGGAAACAGCGAGTTCTTCAGTATTAGAGCGCCTTGCCACACGGCGATAGATTTTCGCGCTACGTCGGACAAGGTACGCGATGTCGACAACATGCCGGTGCGTGTGTTCTCCGAATCAGAGTCAGAGTCCATTTGACGGTTCCGTCGAGGAGAACGCGACCTTGACCTATCTACACCGGGCTCTCGCGACAAAGACCTACGTAGTCCGCGAGGTGTCTCGTACTCTAATTCCGGCGGTGGTCTCCTGCTGGACCAGTCGGCTTCGTCGCGTATGTATCCCTCGGGGTAAGTACCTCTGTAACCACCACGGGTACTGCTGCCTCGCCTATCGTGCCAAGGCGCTGTACCTCTACCTCCACGAAATCCCCTAGGCCCATACCCAAAATCACCCTCGGGTCCGTAAGGATCATAGGGTGACTCATAGTCGACAGGACGAGGTCTAAAGTCACTAGACTCCTCTGGATACGGTCTAGGTTTGAAGCCAAAGCCTGGTGTTACGTCGGCGAAGTCAACTCGGAGTCGACGTTCTGGTCCGCCGAGCGGGAAGCCGCGCATCTCCTTAACGGCTGCCTGGGCGGCGTCGATTGAATCGTAGAGTATGTAAGCGTTGCTGTCGCCCTTGATATAGTCGATTTTCTTAATGGCGCCGAACCGATCGAACTCACGTTCCAACTGCGGCACAGATGTCCATGGGCCAAGGCCGCCTACCCATATCCGTGTAGTCGGAGTGGCCTTGCCGTAACCGATTTTGCACTGGAACTTGCCGATGTACTGTCCCGAAAGCTCCACTTTGCAGCGATGCGCCATATCTAACGTCTGGAAACGCACGAAAGCGTAGGCGTTGCCGGTTCCAGGCGGCGGCCGTTTGATATCGATATCATCGACGATGCCGTACTTGCTGAAGATACGGCGTAGCTCCTCCTCCGTGATATTGATCTCCAGATTGCCGGCGAATAAGGTCCTGGTTGCTAGCGGGTCATCCTCGGGCGATACATGATGCAAGTAGTTCGGGAACTTATCCTTTTTATTCTCGACACGCTCGAAACCGTGCACCGGGTGTCGTATCATCATATGGCGCGGTGGACCACCGTAATGATGAGGCGGACCAGGATGCACGTGGCCTGGCGGCCCATGGTGTATGGGAGGCCTGACGAAATCGTGATGAGGAGGTGCGATAGTCTCACGACGCATTTCTCGATGTGGCGGTAAACCGACCGTTGGTCCATAAACTCGCTCATATCTCTCGAGAGGTCTGTGTCTATCTGTGGGCCCTGGCGAACGAGTATAGTATCTCTCGTAATCCGGGGGAGTTACGGAACGCGGTCGACGGTAAGTGTCAGCTCTCTCATAAACTGGTTCTACCAGAGCGACCTTGTCGTACATGATAATGCGCGATTTTGCATGTTTGGCGTCACGCGCGTCCTCAGAGTTCCTGAAGCACACGTAAGCAACGCGCTCGTCCAACTCGTGTGTGATGCGGATGGAGAAGTCCCCGAACTTCTTATATTCCCTGTACAAGGTGTCCTTGATGATTTCGTCACTGGCCTTCGGGTGGATCGAACTAATGCAGAGGATCTTATAGCTGTAGGACCGCTCCGGAGGTAGGTCGCGTGGGGCACGTAGATAGTCGTCGCGGTGTGAACTCGACTCCACGTAGCGCGCATGCGAGGATGCTCGTGTGGGAGGGCTGGGGCTTCTGGCTCCTCTGCTTCTACGCCGGATCCTCTCAGGTGTGATACGTTCATCGCTGGAATCATCATATCTACAAATCATACAAAATGTAGGAACACCCATGCGTATTGTCTGTGTTAAAATGAGAGAGCACTGTACATGAGACGATGTTAGCTTACGTTTTTCTACAATGGCTGCATGAAATATCAACGGAAAAGTATGTCAGAGAATTACACAGAATATTTGCTTCAACTCGTAGAGTACATCATTACACACAGAGAAATACATACATGCGTTTAAATAAATGTGTGTGTGTGTGATCTGTCTTGAATAAGATTATATATCCGTAAATCTATCATAAGCTCATCATAAGTATCGAATTTGTTCAGAATTCACTCTGAATCCTAATAGGTTCAGCATTTCAATTAAGAACGTTAAATTAAAACAAAAATTTAGCTTTGCTTACTGCACAGAGTAGAATCAACGACAATAAAATTTGATGATATTCTTATAAAGAGAATAAATTATCCCTTTAAATATATTATAATGAGCTTCTCTAAAATTTGTCACAGGTATATTTTAGAACTATTATCAAGAATAATATTCTTTGCTGAAGACTATTACTTAAAAGAAGAAAAACAAAAGTGAGTAATCATTTCTTTTTAGCAATAAAATTATATTTTTCTCTGTGTAATACATATACAACAGTACCTCGAAATGACCAATATATACAATCCATCACATCGTCAGATATTATATATCACTGTCAATCTGTAGATCAGAAATTTCAGCAGAGATCAAGGGTGCATTTACTGTGATATCGTATAAATATCATAGAAATTCTTCTTGTGCATAGAACTTCTCTCCTTAAGATATAAGGTAAATGTCTCAATGACTGAACTACTAAGAAAGCTTTACATTCTCATAAATCAACAATTTATGGAAAACAAATAGTAATTTATGTAATTTTGGTTTGTCAGTGATTGAAAAACATGAGAAAAACAATGGGGAAAAAATAATCAATAAGTATCAATGATAATTTTAATAGTATATTAGATAATGTCAGTTGTACCAGTAACTAAATTGAATCGTGTCTTAAATGCTGAATAACAGGTTCAATGATTGAACATTCATCGAATAACACTGCAAAAATTGGCATAAAGAAATATCCTTCAGCAAAACCTCAAAAATTTTTTTTAGAAATGTTAAATATAAATCTATTGTTAATGTATCAATCATTGGGACATTGTTCAATTACTGGGACATTTACCTTACCGTTAGCGAGACAGATGTGTGGATTTTCGTTGCTTTCACAGCCACGCAGCCATGTGGCCCACCCACAATATATGTATATACAACACATGCACAATACACAATACGATGTCGAAATAACAAAAGAAAAAGAAACGAACTCGTTATCACGTCACTAAACGCTACGTATCACTGCGGACTTTCTTTTTTTTTTTAATCTCTCACGATTTCAACGAGCAGAAACGGAGGGGCAAAACGAATAGTGTGACAACGCGAGAAAAGGGAAGCGCGAGCGCGTGTGGCTTGTTTTCGGACGTAGACCGTGATCGATGAAGAGAAAGGCACGCGCAAAGTTATTGCCGAGCAGAGCTGCCTCCGCCGCGGTCGCGATGTCGCCGCCGCCACGGTCTTGGTCATCGGCGTCGTGGTTATCATCAGAAGACATCTTACCGTCCCATCGACGATCGGCTCCGCTTCACGCGAGGAGGAGGGGTACGACTCGGGCTCCTCTTCATGTTATTGCGGATCTTGACCGTGATTTTGTGCCGATCGTCCCGCGGAATCCCAATCATCAACGCTGCTTGATGGAACGCTGCAACTTAAGAACGAAGACCCAGGAAAGAGAGAAAGAGTGTGAGAGAGAAATGGGGAAATGGGAAAGAGATTAGGCACAGAATGGAGAAGGTATGATGTGCGTGTATTCAGCTATTGGAATCCCAGCTTCGTGAAAACGGTACCTCGTGGACGCGCTGGTCCACTGTCCGCCTCGTCAACGTCCGCTTGCCGCAACGAGCGCACAAAATGGCGCCCGTCGCTCGTTGTTTCGCAGCTTACTTTCGGCTTGATTTTTCGTCGACGCCCGCGCGAGCGCACGAACTTCCGTCCACGATGACTTTTGACCGCGCGATTTCGTTATAATTCGCGTGAGTGCTACCGTACGAGATTGTCACAGAGGAAATACAAGAGGCAACAGAAAACAAAGAACGCCGCGAATACACAATTCAGTACACCTGAATTCACGCTGCTAAATCATCGCGATCGTCTATGCGACTGTGGTGCCACTGCGCCATGATACGAGAAACAGCGTTGCAAATTCGGGTAAAAGGGCCCTTGCACAATGCCAGGCTACAGGCAATAGAAATAGGCATTAGCCAATGGGAACAAGGAATAGAAATAATTGACCAATCCGAATTCCTATTCTCTGTTCCTATTGTCTGTTGCCTGACATTCTGCAAGGGCTTTGGGCCGGTATTCATAGTCGGATCTTATATTTAAGATCATCTTAAGTTTATCTTTAGATGGTCTACGGGTGATTTCATTGGCTACAAAGCATCTGAAGATAAACTTAAAACGGTCTTAAATATAAGATCCGACTATGGCTTGGTTTACATCGTGCACTTGATACGCATACTAAATAGTAACTTTCTTAGATAATCTTAATATCGACAGTGCATATCAACGGCAACGGTTTTGTTGATGAGTATTGTAGCTTAATTTCCTGTTGTTTATATATATCGTCGATATTAAGATTATCTAATAGAAAGTTACTATTTAGTACGATATTTAGGCTGCGTTCCAAAATTCACTGCCAGTACTGAAATTCTATAATATACGTAACATGAACTATAGATTTTCAGTACTGGCAGTGCATTTCGGAACGCAGCCTTAGTATCAAGTGCACGATGTAAACCAAGCCTATGGCATATACCGTATATGCCATTCTTCTGCTCTCATAATAAGTGACGGCGCTGACGTGTCAAGCAGTGGTTGTCTTTCTCCTGAAGGGACGTGTTCCGAAATCTTCAAAAAATCGGTGCACAAATCTTTCAGACTACGAGTGACATGTTTATGCCAGCCAATCGCAGGTAGCTTCTTGACGGGAGTGTTCCGATTGACCACGGTACGATTGGACACAACCAACCGATGAAAAGAATTATCTAGTAAATTACTAGGTCAAACAATCATTACAATCTGTGTCCAATCGTATCGTGGTCAATCGGGTCCCACTCCTGCTTGACGATTCTATTTACTAGAGGTTCTCTAGTGCTCAAAGCAATTTGATCTGTTCTTTTTAGCTGCACTGCTGAACTGGTGTAATAAGTTAAAGTGAGACAAGTATATCTTTTCTCACTCTAACTTATTGCACCAGTTCAGCAGTGCAGTTGAAAAGAACAAACCACAATTGTCAGCACAAAAGAGCGTGCAAGCAAACTTAGGCCGCGTTCCGTTTCACGTATATGCGCGCATTTATCTATAGTTCGTGTTACGTATATTGTAGACAATGCGCGCATAAAGCCCATTCTACAATTGCGTAAGCGTAGTCGTGAACGTAAGAGTCAACCAATCTGAATGTTTTATTTACTGATTGCTTTATTCTGATTGGTGTCGTAACACATACAACCACTTACAACCACGTTCACGCAATTGTAGAATGGGCTTAATGCGTGAAACGGAACGCAACCTTAAGCCCATTCTACAATTGCGTAAGCGTAGTCGTGAACGTAAGAGTCAACCAATCTGAATGTTTTATTTACTGATTGCTTTATTCTGATTGGTGTCGTAACACATACAACCACTTACAACCACGTTCACGCAATTGTAGAATGGGCTTAATGCGTGAAACGGAACGCAACCTTAAGCCCATTCTACAATTGCGTAAGCGTAGTCGTGAACGTAAGAGTCAACCAATCTGAATGTTTTATTTACTGATTGCTTTATTCTGATTGGTGTCGTAACACATACAACCACTTACAACCACGTTCACGCAATTGTAGAATGGGCTTAATGCGTGAAACGGAACGCAACCTTAAGCCCATTCTACAATTGCGTAAGCGTAGTCGTGAACGTAAGAGTCAACCAATCTGAATGTTTTATTTACTGATTGCTTTATTCTGATTGGTGTCGTAACACATACAACCACTTACAACCACGTTCACGCAATTGTAGAATGGGCTTAATGCGTGAAACGGAACGCAACCTTAAGCCCATTCTACAATTGCGTAAGCGTAGTCGTGAACGTAAGAGTCAACCAATCCGAATGTTTTATTCACTGATTACTTTACTCTGATTGGTTGTCGTAATCACTTACAACTACTTACAATCACGTTCACGCAATTGTAGAATAGGCTTTAGTCTACAAATGTATTGTCTGTTATAGCGAATTCGGTAGTTTGCACTAGTGCGCATTAAGGCTTGTTTACAGTACATTCTTATATTTAAGATCGTGTCTTAAATACATATTTAAAAACATTTTAACTAATAAAATGATTCGTACGGATGTTATACATATCATATTATGGTTAAAAATATTTGAGAATTTATTTGAGAATTATTTAAGACAATTTTTAAATATAATAACATACTATGAACAAGCCTTAGTGCGCACTCAGTGCACACTAGTGCAAGCAACCGAATTCGCTATTAGACATTTAATATACTGTAAGATATTCTTTATACATAATATTAATAATGTTATTATATATTATAGAATGTTTTAAGCGTTTAATGTTTAACCATATCCGTCCAACTTCGTAATAACAGATAACAACTATTGATTGAATACGAAACTCGAGTATGTGTATAACTGAAATCGTAGGTTAGTTTCAAGATTTTTTTATGGTAAATTATGTAAAGTTCTTATGGACGATATGTATGAGATTGCCGGTTATAACATCTTTCTTTAATTTTATAGCATAAGTAAAATAGAGTATGTCTAAAAAATTATTAGGAGAAAAAGGTATTAACAAGGACAGATTTCTTAAACGGATAAGAATTAACAGCAACATATGTAGATAAGATGTCTCTTCTAATACGAAGATACAGATTCAGTAATTGTTGGTCGTACACGAAGTTTATGAAGACTCGTGAGCCATGCTTTTCAACGCTATTTAATCCAAAAATTATTAGAAATTCGTGTAGTACTTATGTGAGTTCAAACAGTTTGGATAATAGAGTCAGAAGATGGCTAGATTACCTTGCAAATGAATATAAGAACGAAACCTTGAAAGATAACAATCTCCTCGAATTCGTCAATTTAGACACTACTAGTGGCTTGTTGAGCAAAAGGGTACAACTAGTAGAAAATATACAGACTTTACAAGATCTAGGTAAGTAGTATGTAAATACTATATTTTAGAGTTGGGAAGTAATGCGTTACTTTTTTTTCGATAATGATCGTTATTTTCTTCTGTTTGTAACGGAAACGAATTCATCCGTTACTTTTATTGTTGCTTTAGTTATCTCTATTCAATAGACGATGCAGTAGTCACGCACTGACAGCATGTATTGAAGATTCTTGGTTGGATAGAAATATCTCGATATTTGTTGGAAGACAATATGTGGTTTTATTCTTCATGTAAAAATTATTGTTAGATAGATTTTGCAATTTAGAGAGCTGTTAAAAATTTTTTATAAATTTAATAATAGATATGCTTAATGTATAGTTTTATTACACTCTATTATTAAGAAATTATGGAACAAGTGTGTGTATTACATTAAACATCCTATTATTAAATTTATTAAAAATTTCTAAGAACTTCTCCCCTCCCAAATATTACAAGTCTGGCTCTGTATTGGTAATAATTTTTGTGTGAAGAATCATAAAAATCATGAGAACATAGAATTGAGCTCATAAAGAAATATTAGTTCTTCGACTCAAGATTATTGCAGTTTTAAACGGTTTATTTTTTTTAGATGTGAATTAGCTACATTAAAAATAATAATTTAAGTTAAAAACAATTTCATTTTAAAATTATATATTTTATTTTAGTATTATAAAAAAATAAACTTACTTTCTTAGTAACGGTAACTTATAACAAGTTACTTTTTAAAATTAATAATGAGTAACAGTAACGAATTATGAAAAGTACGGGTAACGCATTACTTTTTTTAAATTAATATTTGAAGTACATAAGAACTTTGTAAAAACTGATTTGTATAATACTGTGTTTTGTGATTTTGTACACATCTTCTCATTATATTAATTATTCAACATAATAATTGGAAAGTTTGATTCACTTTCTATCAGCATTAATGTTACTAAAGTACATATTAATCATTGAAAGTTTACACTTCTATATTGCTTATTTACAATGTGTAAAGATGAATATCTTTCCACAGTAAAACAAGATTCAGAAATGAAGAAGCTAGCAGAGGAAGAAGAAGCATTGTACAAAGGACAACTGTATGAACTGGATAAGAGTCTATTGGATGCGATATTGGCTAACATGTGCAATGAGTATTGTGACAATATCATTATTGAAATAACAGCGAGTGTCGGAGGTCAGGAAGCTATGCTATTCGTTAAAGATTTGTATGAGATGTACATAGGCTATGCTAAATATCTGGGCTTATCTCACGAAGTAATAGACATGGACATGACCGACTGCAGTGGCATTAGAAACGTCAGTATCTTATTGTCTGGTGAACAAATATCCAAGCTCAGATACGAAAGTGGTGTGCATCGAGTGCAGCGAATCCCGGTCACGGAGAAGTCGGGCAGGGTGCACACTAGCACTGCCTCAGTGGCAATTTTACCAGCACCGACAGAAGTGGAGGTTGTGATTAACGAGAAGGACCTGAAAATAGAGTCAAAACGAGCCTCCGGCGCGGGTGGTCAGCATGTGAACAAGACGAATTCCGCGGTGAGGTTAACTCACATACCGACTGGGTTAGTTGTGGAATGTCAAGTGGACAGGTCGCTATTTAGGAACAAGAAATTGGCGATATTGAAGCTGAGAAGTATACTGTATGAGCAGCAATTGAACAAGCAGACGTCGTTTGCAGGCGAGCTGCGGAGGAAGCAGATCGGAATGGGACTCAGAAATGAGAAAGTCAGGACGTACAATTACAATCAGGATCGTATAACTGATCACAGGTTACAGAACGGCACTCTCTACAACTTGAAGGAGTTTATGCAGGGTGGTGTGGTGTTAGAACAGCTGGAGGACAGACTGCATAAAGATATGCAGATGAAAACTCTGCTAGAAGTTGTGAGAAAGTTGGAGATGCAATTAATATAACACCAGTCTTCCCTTGAGAAGTTTTTATCTTGATTGTTGTTTTATGTAGGTAAGTGTCTTTGCACATAAGAAAATTGTAATATACTTCATGTAATAATAAGCGTTCTCTTTGTTTCCTGGAAAGAACTTCAGAGCTTAATGACAATGTACAGAGAATGTTTAGTGGAGTTTGATAACAAAATTTCATAGTTTTGCTTTTAATTTTCTTTTCATTTGGGTTGTTTGTTATAAAAAAAAACATATTCCTTATATATTTTATATAAAATTTAAATATAAATTTAGTGACAAACACACACAAAATTTTATAATATATACAAAATTATATGCAATTATAATTTACAATTACATATGAAATTATATACAATTTTATTCTTTGAATCAGTCAATGACCTCTCTTTGTTACTGAGTATAATAGTTATTGAGATGAATTTGCATATTTTATATTTTAATATATGCCTTACCAGATACCACAATTACCACAAGTACAATATTATTTATGTAGCAAAAACTCATCATTACATTCTTCCTGACATGATGCTAGCTACTATCTCAGTTAATCAGACCATATCTATTTTCTGTTTGAGCTTTACAGCAGTGGTTAGAGACCTACTACTTATTTTAATTGACAATATTCAAACACACCCTCAAAGATTGAACAATCTAAAGATTTTAAACGATCTATCATAAGCAAAAAAAGAATATTAAAATGTTTTTCAAGAACAAAGTTGTTAGTATCACAATAGTGTTTCACATTTATTCTTTTCTGTATCTGAGGTAGTTAGTTGGTCTCACAAGAGTCAAAAAATTGGTATAATCACTGTGAAATTTTGTCATCTATTGTGACTTTGCAAGGTCATTAATTATACATATGATTTATTTCAATGAGAGAAACGTTTTTTCTGTATAAATAAATGAAAAAATTGAAAAGATTCTTATATAGGTGTACATTTTTCTATACAGATCATAACCTACAATAAAATCGTTTGTCAACAACGTACGATTTCATGAGATGCGTTGCTATTATGATAATAGAAAATATCATCTGGATATATTACAAGTTACACATAATAATAAAGTCTAGTCGAAAGAAAACAAATTAATTAAACGCGGCAATTATCGATCACAATCGAAGCAATGTTCAGACTGCAACATTATTGGGCACGGTAAACGATGGTATATTTTTATTACAGTAAAAATCCTCAAAGTATTTAACGGCTGTTTTTTTTCCTGTATGCTTGTAACCGTATCTAAGAATTCGTCAATTTAACGTCTCTCGAAAGTTGTATTATCGAAAATATGGCGCGAAAATGATCTCGCCTTTGGCTGCGTTTCGAAATTCACTACCAATGTTGAAATTCTATAGTATGCGTAACATGAACCATAGATTACGTTCCGTTTTACACATTATACGCGCATTCCCTACAGTGGCTTGGTTTACATCGTGTACTTGATACGCGTATTAAATAGTAACTTTCTATTAGATAATCTTAATATCGACGATGTATATAAATAATGGTATATTAAGCTGGTATAATATTTATTAAGAAGACTTATTATCGTACATAATATCGATTGAATGTGTCATCGTTGATATGCATTGTCAATATTAAGATTATTTAATAGAAAGTTACTATATAGTACGCATATCAAGTGCACGTAACCAAGCCAATATACGTAACGTGAGCTGTAGATAAATGAGCGCATAAACGTGAAACGGAACGCGGCCATAGGCCGCGTTCCGAAATTCACTGCCAGTACTGAAAATCTATAGTTCATGTCACGTATATTATAAAATTTCAGCACTGGCAGTGAATTTCGGAACGCAGCCATAATTGGTCTATATTTAGGGATCTAACAGTAAGAACCAATAATCGTTGACTGCTCACTGAACGCTTTTTCCGTTGAACGCGCCCAATGGGCAATGGTGTTAGCACTCAAATTTAGGTGTTTATCCCCAGTTTTTGGGTGTTTACATCCAAAATGGATTGAGAGTTTTTTCGTATTTTTTTCGTAAGGGTAACGAACGTCTTTGATTGGTACGTCTGTCCGAACCTGTTAAAGGTTTAAAAGTAGAGAACCTCTAGTAAAGAGAATCGTCAAGCAGCTACTCTGCGATTAGCTGGCATAAACATGTACCCGGACATTGCGACGCCAATGCAAAAACATATATAATAAAATAATGCAGGATTTACACCGCGTCCGATGCCCGACATACGACGTCCGATATCCAATAAAAGAATAGCTTTCCAATAGAGAATTCTATATTAGAAAGTTGTTTTCCTATTGGATATCGGACGTCGTACGTTGGACATCAAACGCGGTATGAGTCCTGCATAACCATCTGTTCTGCATTGGCGTTGCAATGTCCAAATCCGTACATGTTTATGCCAGCCAATCAGCTGGTCACGTGACTATATTGACGATTCTCTCTTCTAGCGGTTTTTTATTTATAAAAATATTCCAATCATGAACATTCGCTACGGAGCGGTAGCGGAGCAGCTTTCTCCGTTGAGCGTAACCATTCTGTTTTGATTAGTACATTTCCATCTATTTTCAGAAATGTACTAATCAGAACGGTATTTCCATCCAGCAAGCAAACCAGCATGAAAACAAGCATCGTGTGCTGCTGGCTTAAAAGAAAGTATACTTGTTTCACTCTAATTTATTGCAATAATTTGGGGATTGATTATAAATCTTTTGTTCTAACGTGCCCATAAAAAGAATGCCCATGAGTTCTTCAAAAATGAACAGACATCATGTCACTTCGTCCGTTCCGCCAGTCTATTAATCGCCGTTCCTTGTTCACTGTTTACATGACGTGGTGGCGGTGGTTGGACGGTAACTGATACGGGTTGCCGGTGCTGAAGTCAACGAAACTGCACCTTATCACAGCGAAATTGATATTCTCATCGTTCTCTGTGCGCGAAACGCTCACGATGTTGCAGTCGATATTCGACGATGTCCGGCGTATGAATAAACGCCAGGTAAATTGTTTTCAAACGTCACGGTGTCGAACGGTGGTGGCATATGGTGATCACACATGGAAGGAAATTCAATGTTTTCTAATTTTTAGTTCTTGTATCAAGTGCTGAGCTTTGGCATGATAGTCTCCTCAGCATTGATGATATGGAAGGGTCTGATGGTCATCACTGGCAGCGAGAGCCCTATCGTGGTGGTGTTAAGGTACGGAGGGAATCTGACCTAACCTAACTTCCTAGTTTCCACGTAACAGATATCCTCTTGATGATTTCGTCCGGCTGAATGCAGGCAATTTTTTAATTCGCTTATATAAAATTCGCATGAGATTGCGATTTTGCATACGTTCAATATGTTTGCATTTCAATTCTATTATGTATCATGTTTTACTTATCATTTATTGTAATCATGCACAATGAAATTAGTCATTATGCCTATGAAATTGTTAAGTATTTCAAAAGGATATTTTGCACATATTTGCTGTAAATTTTGTCGGCAGCTTGCTAGCAGAAATATAACAATCTGCTGCAGAATATAATGACAGATTGACAGCAGGAATCAAGCTAGATTTATTGTTCCTCGACTATTGAAACATACTAAATGGAACATACTACAGATCTTGTTTGATTTCTACCACCAATCTACTTTCAAGTTTTATTAGCAGATTTTGCTGATAGAAAATCTGTCGGTATACTGCTAATATTTTACTCATTGGGTTATTGTCAGATGTAAACTATGTCAGTAAATGTAATGATATCATATTAACTGTATTTTTTATTTATTTTTTGTAGTGGTAGCATGGAGCCAGCATTTCACAGAGGCGACTTGCTCTTCCTTACCAATTATGAAAACGAACCAGTGAGAGTAGGTGAAATTGTAGTTTTCAAAGTCGAGGGACGGGACATACCTATTGTGCACAGAGTAATTAAGCTTCATGAAAAGTAAGAATTTTCACTACATGATATCCTTGAGGCTCCTGAGTATTTGCTACAGTCATGTTTAATTGTGACATCAAAAGCAAAAAATGACACGTTGAAAATTTTTGTGTGCTATTTTCAAATAAAAAGAAATTTGAAGTAAATGAATATTTCAAATTAGCATAATTATTGAGCATACTTGTAAAATGCTCTAAAAAATATCTCTTCCTTGATAGTCAATAAATAACTGTAAAATTAATGTGATAAAATCATGAACAAATGTAGGTTAAAGAGGAAGATTGCACATTAATTTTATAGTTATTTATTGTTCGAACAAAAGAAAAGTATTCTGATTATTTTGCAAGTTTGCTTGATCAATTGTAATTTTATGGATACATCTTTTTACTTCAAAATATTTTGCAAGAATTTTTGGCGAGTATTTCCTCTCTTCTGATATCAGTTACGAGGCGAAGAGACAGAAGTCCTAATGTTACAAAGTACAATTTTGCTAATATAACTAAAAAATTACAGGGGTGATCAGAATAATACGGTCAAGTTTCTTACAAAGGGCGACAACAATTCCGTGGACGACAGAGGCTTATACGCGCCTGGTCAGCTATGGTTAACGCACAAGGATGTCGTTGGCCGGGCGAGAGGCTTCCTACCGTACGTCGGCATGGTTACTATATATATGAACGAGTACCCTAAATTTAAGTATGCAGTGTTAGCATGTCTTGGTCTGTATGTTTTGGTACACAGAGAATAATAATAATAATAATAATAATAATAAAGTTGAAACGTTGTTGCGACAAATTCGGTCACTGCAGTTTCAGAGAATACTCGTGGTTTGAAAATTACACAACTGTTTAGATACGCATATATCCATATGTATGTACGTATGTGTGTGTTGTGTGTGTACACAACACATTTCGCTGAATCTCATTCCTAAGACGAAGCGTGGAAGGTTCAGGTCGAAACGCATTTCTTTGTACATATTTCAGTATTAGAATTTCATTACGTTATAATACGTTATTTCTTCGAAGTCCGACCACACTCGTCCATTTGCATTAGCAATTGCAAGTACCATTGTCAGACGTCGTAAATGTATTTAAGAAAGTATCCGCGTATTCTTAAAAGATTGTCTACAATACGCGGAGTAAGCTTGGCGTAAGAAAGAGAGAGAGAGTGAGAAATAAAATTAATACATTTCGCTTACGTTTACTCCAACTCCTATACATTGGAAATATTTATCTTACGTGAGAGAAATATTTTTAGTGTAAGGAGGCTAGAATATAGACGTAAGTAGAATAAATTATTTTTATTCCTTCAACTTACGCCAAGCTTACTCCGCGTATTGTAGACGAGCCTTTAGACGTTCACTTTGGACGTTGTTACTCCTAGTTGCACATCACATTCATAAAACTTCTATCATACATGAAACGAGTCTCTCACGATTGCCGCGTGGCAAACTTGTAAGTGGTCAAGCGCGCGACCACCGTGATAAGGATTAATGAAATCCTTCTCACGGACATGTTCGTGATCGTAGCGCTTGAACAATAGATAGATAGATGATCGTTAAGTCTTCTTTACTTCGATAAAGAGAAAGTGTACAATCTTTCGAATGTATGAGACTTAATTACACGCAAAACTGATCAATGTTATTATGAAATCACGAAGATGGGGAAGTTCATTGAAAAAGAATGAAGTGTCATAAGTTATCTGAGATTTTACGGGAGACCCATGTGATACGCGTGATTCTATGCGCCCTCGGGACAAAAATTTGTACGTCGATCGTTTCTAATGAGGCGCACTGTAACTACTTCTATCTCACGTGTGAAATAAATGTGTAATGTTTAAATACGGTGTAATACATCACGGGAATCACTGCGCCTTGCATTCTCTAGTTCACTTAATATTTTTTAGGCACGAGTTGTAATTACATTAGAGAGATTCGTTAAATTAATTGCAAATTCTATGCGATCGACGAACGAGAATGACTGATAAGTTTAAGGCACTTGGCTGTCTTACGATGGCAAAGGGCTTTAAGTTAAAAATAATGTGTCGATTATATAAAATTTATTCAATTTAAGTGTCACAAGCAAAGATACAAATCAGTGCAATTCATAGCGTATCCAAATTTCTTTTGGAGTTACAAAAAAACCTGGCACGTTGTCTTCAAAGCTCGACGGTTTGCCTTCCACCAGAAGTTGGAATTTTACGACAGGAAAGTCAACATATTGAGTATGTTGCATTTACTATAAATTTTCCCCAAATATACATTTGATGATCTGCACACAAAACACAAGAACGATTACATCATGAAAACGCGATTTCCTCGGCATCGAGGGAGTTTTCTGAATCGTATTTTTTATTGCAGTATATTGACTCACCGAAACTGAAAAGCAGAGACATGTTTTTAATTAGTTTATTGTTCTTATTTAAAAATCTCCGGTTTAAAATTCTCAGGATTATCCCATAAATTGGGATCATTATGCAGCGCTGCTAAATTAATAAGAATTGGTGTATTCGCCGATATACTGTCTCAGCGTAGCGTCTTTGATGGATTTATGGGATATACTGATAAAGAAAGGTGTCGAAATTCTCATCACTTCTTAGATCACTGCTTTTATTTACACTTTATTTATACTTTTTTTTTTGTTTTTTGAACGTAATATTCCATTACGTTGTTTCCATTATATCTAGCATTACTTATTGCATCACTATTTACACTGATTTTCGAGTGATATTTCGCGTACGATCTAAACAAATATGTTTTAAAATAGGCTATACATCATAATCTAAGGAAATAACAATATTGCGTTATACACAATTTATCTTCTGTTTTTATCTTTACTTAAAAACAGTACGCAATTTGGTCAGCGTGTTATTCCTCGCACTGATGTCACAAATCTAATATAACCACTGCGAGATACGAGAAGCCTTAAATATTTTTAAACCGAACTCGTAAACATGTGCATATTTTTTAGGAGAATTCCCGCATCGTAAAATGTTATTTAAAGAGCGATAAATTAACGATTAATTTGATTATTCAGAGCTGTAATATGTGTACTCGCGTGTGGACAGTAGCCTGGTTTGTGCACTTGATACGTGTACTAAATAGTAATTTTCTTTTAAATAATCTTAATATTGACAATGCATAATCAATGACGATCCATTTAATTGATACATCTTGATGAATATTATACCAGCTTAATATACCATTGCTTATATATACAATGTTGATATTAAGATTATTTAATAGAAAGTTACTATTTAGTTTATACATCGACGATGTATATAAACAACGGTATAATACTCATAGTAATAATACTATAGTAATAATACTCATAGTATAATACTCATCAAGAAGATATATCAATTGAATGGTCGTCATTGATTATGCATTGTCAATATTATTTAAAACAAAGTTACTATTTACGCGTATCAAGTGCACGATGTAAACCAGGCCAATGATCTCTCCTTTTTGTAAACCTAAAGAATGGCTAAATATTTTCTCGCTTAGAAATTTATAAATATGCGCTATGACACATATTAAAGTTAAATTATTTTGCTAAATCGACCTACATTGTAGTTTTATGCAATCGGCAAACGAGAACGACTGTTGCTCTCAAGACTTTTGGAGCCTTTTTTTAAATGTACAGCGAATGCGTTAATATGCTCCCTCCCTCTTACATGCAAAAAAAATTTCAGTTGGTACAACCAAAGGAACCAACTGAAAATTAGGTGATCAGAAGCGATATTTCTATTATGAAAACTAATATTTCTGTTGTCACAAGCGAAAATATTCGTCTGAACATTCAACGATATTAGAACTCGGTTGAGATGAATTTCGCACCGAATGAGATGAATGACAAAGTGTTAAATGTCATCAAAGCTTTTTACGAAGATTTAACTACCGATGATTTATTACAGCGATGTCTCGGATCGTTTACTCAGAATAATAACGAAAGTTTAAATTCATTAATTTGCTATTCAGACAAATATTTTCGGTTGTGACAACAGAAATATTAGTTTTCATAATAGAGATATCGCTTCTGATCACTTAATTTTCAGTTGGTTTTTTTGTACCAACTGGTTTGGTTGTACCAACTGAAATTTTTTTTGCGAAATTTTTTTTAAATCTTCGTAAAAAGCTTTGATGACATTTAACACTTCGTCATTCATCTCATTCGGTGCGCCATATGGAGGCTGCGTCTTTTAAATCTTTATAGCTCGGTCAATTTAAGGAATTTTATTTTAATATTTTAGGGACATATTTTCAAGACTTCAAACTATAAAAATATGTAGAAAAGAAATAATCGATTTTTTGGACCCATCACACTAGAATATCCTCTTACACGGAAAAAAGAATTCTATTGGTGCAACCGAATTTTCGGTTGCTCAGGAATCAAAACTCGGCTGTAGGAACAGAAAAATTCCTTTATGAGACTTCTGTATAGTCAATTCAGTTCTCAGTTATCTCAACCGAGTTCTAATATCGTTGAATGTTCAGACGAATATTTTCGTTTGTGACAACAGAAATATTAGTTTTCATAATAGAAATATCGCTTCTGATCACCTAATTTTCAGTTGGTTCCTTTGGTTGTACCAACTGAAATTTTTTTTGCATATAAGAGGGAGGGAGCATATTAACGCATTCGCTGTACATTTAAAAAAAGGCTCCAAGAGTCTTGAGAGCAACAGTCGTTCTCGTTTGCCGATTGCATAAAACTACAATGTAGGTCGATTTAGCAAAATAATTTAACTTTAATATATGTCATAGCGCATATTTATAAATTTCTAAGCGAAAAAATATTTAGCCATTCTTTAGGTTTACAAAAAGGAGAGATTATTGGCCTGGTTTATATCGTGCACTTGATACGTGTACTAAATAGATAATTGCACCAAAACATCTATATTGTGGAAAGAAGATTGTGAAAGTCGCAACTTTTTTTGGCTATTTGTCTGTTTAATGAAGGATTTAATAAATTTTAAAAATAATGGACGTAATATGACTAAAAATCAGCCAAAATGCAAAATTCTTCGCGAATAACAGAGACAACGAGCGCGTTAAACGTTCGGAGTAGCGGGTGTCATACGAATCGAAAGAAGCAAGAATTGTCAAGAGACAAAAGAAAGCTGACAAACATGAGTTCTTTGAAGTTGAGAAAGGTCTCTTGTATAGCTCTGATATAGCTGATTAAGGGTAAGTTACTGAAATTACTCATTATCCACTTCATAAGTACATGAGAATCTTTAAACGTGTTTTTCTCGAAACGGCATTTTTCAAATCGGGCGAGTATTTTTGTCGGAAATTACTGGGCCGATCAATTTGCAGTTTTGTATACATATAATGCATATATTAGACTATCGCCCGAATTAGAATCTTTTTGATGTCTTTAAAATTAATTTTTTCCCAGACAGCGATAAGTTAGAATTTTTTAGTAAAAATTAGATTACTATTTTTCAAGCGTTGCCATTTTGTCAATTTTTCTTTAAATTATTAAATTCTGGTTCGGGTAATAGCCACATTCATAAAGAAAATAAAAGCAAATTTGTTTATTTCAGACGACGAGGACGACGGTAATCAAACCCGATGAAAGACGATTTTACTGCGTGATTTCGTCCACTTATATTTTCTTCAATTTTAAATAAAAAGCTTTGATAAAATTTGAAATATTTCTTTACAGACGAAAAAATATCAGTACAAAACATTAACTCTGTAGGTTTAACCATTTGCTTTAAATTAATTCCCAAAAATCGCCTTGAAAACAGGCCTTCACACTAGAATACTCTCTTAATTCTATTTTATTTTAAATCTAAATAATAAACTATAATTTCTTAATACTAAATTTAATTTTACTTATGTGTGTATATAAATTTCAACTTTAGAATTAGAAATATATAATTTACCGTTCACTATGTATCCAGAATATATCTCCTGAGTACGTATTAAGGAATTCTTCGAAATCGATTCTGCAGAATTCCATAATACGTATCTAGGCTACTGGTTCTGTCACTTTTAATGACATTGTTGTTAAAAAATTAGTAAGCTAGTCGTTACATAGCGATGAATCAAGAGACTTAAGTAAAAATCGATTATTTAAAATTTATTTCACGTGAATATCGCGTGAAAAGGTGAAACGAATCAACGCAATTCGTAGCGTACCCAAAATTCCTTGGGAGTTATAAGAAGACCTGGTAATTCATCTTCGGGTTTCGATGGTTCACCTTCGACTTGGAAGAAGTTAAAGGTTTGCAGTAGGGCAGCCAATATCCCGAACATATAGTATCTACTGTAAGTTTCTCCTGGACAAACTCGACGACCTGAACACAAAAAGCAAGAACACTATAAAATACAATCTCCTCGACGCGAAGTGAGTTTCCAGTGTCGCACTGCGATTGAAATATATAGACTTACCAAAACCAAAAGGCAACGACATATCTTTCGTCAGTTCGCCCTTTTCGTTTATGAATCTCTCTGGTCTGAAATTCTCGGGGTCACCCCATAAATTAGGATCATGATGCATCGCTGCTAAATTAGTTATAACTGCCGTATTCGCCGGTATCGCGTACCCTCCCAGAGTAGTGTCCTTGACAGCTCTATGGATTACACTCAGCGGCAACAAAGACGATATTCTCATTACTTCTCGGATAGTTGCTTCCGTATAGGGCAAACTATAATTGCAAAATGTATTAATAATGTCAAATTCGACAAAAATAAAATTTAAGGAAATTAACGTCAGCAAATATGTTGTCGTTTAAAGAATTTATCATGTTTTCCTCTTCTGATAATGCCAGCAAAAATACATTTATCAAATCGTGAAAGTGTTAAAAAGATATGTGAGATATTATTGTATTGTATCTATTTTGTTTTATTATTTACAAATATTCGATATTTATGTGTAGTATTGCGTGCCAATTGTATAACTCACTTTTTTCTATCATTCCATGTCACTAATCGACCGGTACCAACGAACTGGTCTATCTCCTCCTGCACTTTCTTTAAAACTCTGGGATATTTCATCAGATATTTGAGGGCATTAGTAATAACGGTGGGAGCTACAGCACCCGCAGCAATCAAGATATCGTTTGCTATAATAATAAACTGCTTCTCTGAAAAGATCTGCGATTTCTCGTCTTTCTTCAATTCGTTCAGATACCTGTCAACGAATCCTCTGTTGACATTTTCGCCGTGAGTGGCATTTTGCAATTTCAGATATTCCTGGATACGACAATGTAAGATTACAACAAAGCGCTTCAATCAAAATGTATATTTAACATATCACTGTGTTTCTCTTTCTGCGTAAGATTATTCTAAGTTTTCATAGCTAGAATTCATGGTTATTTATTTTTATCTATGACTGCTTGTGTCATTTGCAGGTTACCTGGGCAATGTCTGATAATGCATCACTTGCTTTCATTATATTTTTATACCCGAACATGTTTCCGAAGAATCTCAAAATAGGCAGGTGGGAGATCGCACCGCCTGTTGAATCGAGCGATCTATGAAACAGTATGCCCGTGCGACAGACACGTCGTGGAATATCATGTTCGCTTCTGTCGAATTTGTAACCGAATAAAACGTCCCAAAAAGAATTACATGTTGTCGCATAGAGAATGTCGGGAAAGAGTACCAAATTGTCTTTTATTATTTCCTGTAGACAATAAGATTTTTTATTTTATTTTTCTTTAACTGCTTGTCTTTGTAAAATAGTCCTCGTTTATGTGTTTTGACTGTTAGTACTGTAAAATAACTGTACCTTCTCTCCATCATAAATCGGTCCGTTTTTCAAGATATCGAGTAACAAAGTCACCTCGCCCAAAGTCTCTCTCTCGATGACTTCTTGCCGTCGTCCGAATCCAAAATCCCGCATATTGCGAAGAAAGAATCTCTTCTGTTCTCGCCAGAACGGACCATCGTTGAAAGCTATACCTACAATTTTATAATAAACCCAGTAAACACCGTATAATATACGCGTTATAATAGTTATATTGTTAAGTAATAATAGTTATATTGTTAAGGAAATCGTAACAAAATTGATGTTATATTAATGTTACTTGGTGTTTACTAGGAAGTTAATTGCAAATTCATAAGAGAAGAGTTTAATACTGTCTTCAATGTAGTTCTACTATGTAAGCTTTGAATATTTCCGGACGAGAGGGGCAGAATATATTAACATACGCTATTTGACATACAAATCCTACAGTTAAAAAAATTCTTTTGCATTACCCAACTTCTTTCCGAAAGCTCGTGTTTTTACAATTTCGACTTCTGTAAGTCGACCGTCGAAGTCATCCCTCGTAAGTACCTCCTTTATGCTGGCATAGTCATTAACTACCACTGCCCAAAAATCGCCGAAGTAACAACCGATGATATTCGATTTCAACTTCTTTGCATAATATTCGATAGTTTTATACGGGAAGAAGTAATTTCCCAACAGTAACAGCAAGTAAGATCCTGATATTGGAACTCTGGGAATGCCTACGTCCGACATATTTTATAAATAAATGTAATCATCGCTATCATTTTCTGATATTGAAATGCAGTAATTGTAATGATCATTAGTAATTGTAACACTAAATCACGTAAAGTTAACAAAGAGTGACCGCAAAAACAGACCAAAAATAACCCCTTTTTTCACCCTTAAATTTAGACTTTTACGTGGTACTAAATGATAGTTTATAATGAGTCATTAATCTTTAGAAAGTTTCAAATTGGGCTGGCTTTTTATTCTCAAGAAATGGAGGGGTCAGTGTTGTTGATTTCACCAACTTGCGTATTCACTGTTTTTTTAAATGTTGAAATAGAAACTTACATAATAATAAAATCAAGAAAGGTATTAGTTCGCTGTTATATGATTATTTACAGGTACGCGAATATATGTTAGTATAAATGTGTAAAAGATAAATAGTTACACAAACAGACACATATGGTTATATATAAATATGGGTGGAATATTCTAATAGATCCGTGCGTACTACTTGGAAGATATGATTGGTAACGAAAAATGTTTCAAACAAAAGTTGTAGGGACCATTTAATGGTGATCTTGCGTTTGATCTTGGAGTCAAGGGTGAAGGTCACTCAGAGGTCAAGCTCAAGGTGATTTTCTGAATTTGGAACTGTATTTTGATTTCAGAAATAAAAAGTGCGCTAAAATTTGTATTTGTATATGCTATCATATTGTGGAGTCAAAATGACGTCTGAAGCTTATTTAAGGTCAAGTTTTCCATTCAATTAATCCACAGGGATTACTTCAAAGATTTGAGCGATAACCAAAAAAAGTTTTGGACAAAAGTTATAGGTGCTATCCAAACGGTGATTGCAAGCTCTAGGATGTCAGCTCAAGGGTGAACATCATTTAAAAGTGAATATTTTTTTTCCCGAGTTGGGTAAGTTAAATTTTTTTTAATTAAGTTAAGTTAAAGTTAATAGCTTTGAAAATTTAAGATATTTTATCTTAACTTAGTTAAGATAAAGTTAACCCATAATGAAATTAATTGAATTAAAAGTTAAGTTAATAAAAAAAAATAATTAAAAAGTTAAAAATTAAATTTGTTTCATTTCATGACTTCGGTTTTACAAATAACGGAAAAAACAAATATATACTTTATTTGGAAACATGTTTTATTTACAGATACTTATTAAATTTAAGTAATAAAGTTTTTTCGAAAGGACTCAGCACTAATCATATGAAAAAAGTGGTTTCAGTCGAATTGACTGAACTATGATATTTTGTAGCTCATGAGGTGCTGATCAAAAATCTTCAACAAAAAGTATGAAAAAATAAACAATTTTTTTTCTAACGCCATTAGAATGTTTCTATTTTAGGTCTAACCGAACCTTTATCTACAGTACACAGATTGCTTTTTTAAATACATAGTCATTTACATATAACCATACGTGTGTCCATTATTGAATAGATTCATGTCTCAGTGTATGTATGTGGTGCGGAAGGAGGGTGTAATATGGGTGTGTATTGGTATGTATGTATTTGTATCGATAGTTATTCTATTAGTACGTCTGACATTATTACGTCCAAAAATGTGTGTACGTGTGTGTGTGTTGGGTGGGTTAGGTTAGATTACACACACACACACACACACACACACACACACACACACACACACACACACACACACACACACACACGTACGCATGCACACATACACATTTTTTGGACATAATAATGTCAGACATACTAATTAAACAGACAGTCTAGTTAAAGTTTAATTTTATTTAATTTAAAAATATAACATATGTAAAATATGTGAGAAAATAAAAAAGATGGAAAAAGATATGTACTTATTTAATTATATTTCCCTTTCGTAACATTATACTCTTATAGAAATATCATACTAAGAATCATTGATAATTATTTATTATGCAGTATTTTTAATACTGGATATTTCAGTATTTTCAATACTGAATTCTGAATACTGGATTCAGTATTTTTAATACTGAAAATAAATAATTATCAATGATTCTTAATATGATATTTCTATAAGGGTATTTTGAATAAATGAATATTATTCAACCATTAAACGTATTAATGAACTATTTATTACATATATTATTATATATGCGACATGTTATATAAATTCTAATAGGTATGTCGCTTTTGGCACCTATTTTATATGAACTCCATTTTTGTGCGTTTTACGAAAACATTTTTTCTTTTAAATCTAAAAATAATTTCAGTAAAAATGTGATATCATCTGATAGGAGGTACTTCCAACTACATGTATGTATATTTAAATTTATATTTTGAACTTTATATTAAGACATAACGTCCAAAAACAAATAGTATGTCGTTTTTGGTGCCTTTACTCTAGTTACTACCCAACCCCGGGTTTTTTCCTATGAGAATTTATTCTTACCTCGAAAACAAAAAGTAATTTTAATTAGCAGAATAGGAAGCAACTAATTTCTTCTTTTTCACATTTATATCAACATATATTCGCGTATACTTGTAAATAATCACATAACAGCGAGCAAATATGTTTATCAAACCTATTATTAGTTTCCATTCTAATGTTTTAAAACAGCAAATACGCAAGTTGATAAACTTGCAAATCAGCAAATTTGACCTTCCATATTTTGGGAATAAAAAGCCGGCTCAATTTGAAACTTTCTCAGGATTAATGATCCACTATGAAATATCGTTTAGTATCAAGTAGAAATCCGCAGAAAAGACTCGTAATAACTTGTGAGTAGATCAATAATTCTATGTGAACCGTATGTCATATGATAACTGGTAAATATCTACTTCTTTTCTTTAAATTTTTCTTTTCTTAAAATTCTTTTTCTTTTTGTAAGCTATGATTTTACGATTTTACAATTTACTCGTATATTTGCTTAGATAATTGCAGCAAAATCGAATTGAGGACGAAAATGTTATTGCAACTTATGCAAAATTTGTCAATTAAGCAAATTTAATATTAACTTACTTGGAGGTGAGTTAGGCGGTTTATGGTGAGCAAACTTGTAGAATTTATATACTAAGATAAGTATAATGACTGCAATCAATAATGGTGTCATATTTGCGCAAGTGATGAAATTTAACTGAGGTTTCCGCAAAATTGTCGAGTGTTTTATCTTTTAAGACATGTTTATATTTTTAGTAGGCATGCGCAGAAGTCAGCATGATGTTACCGCTTCAAAACCAACAAATATATTTAAAAACATCATTTTATCAAGTGTCTTCTTGTTTTTGTAAAAAAATAGTTACCCAGATAGCCAAATATGCTCAAACAAATTTTGCCCAACTTACAAATTTCGTTGCCAAAATATCATCAAATTGGACACAACATCTGCTAAATCAAAGGTTGTTGACAAACTGACGCCAAATACCGAGCAAGGTTTGTGCGGCGCAGTTTGACGTCAAATTGATACCAAATACCGAACAAAGCTTGGTGAAATCTAATGTCAAATTGACTCCAAATACCGACCAAGGTTTGTGCGACGCAGTTTGACGCCAAACTTTGCTCGATATTTGGCGACAATTTGGCGTCAGATTTTGTCACCAAACTTTACTAACAAAACCCAAGCATATTGCGGAAGCAGATGGCATCGGATTTGCCGTTAAGTTTTGGTCATGTTTGGTGTCAATTTGGCGACAATTTGGTATCAAATTGTTTGCTGGGTAAATATATCAATCATAAACCATAATTCTAGCTTATCTAGTAAACAAAAAATCATTGATAAAATGTTATTGTATAACAATATTTATTAATACGCAATGGTTTCTAACAAGTGCAGTTTTTAACAATTTATTTTGAACGATTTAATTTGAATGAAAATGTTCAAAAGATACGCGTAATATCAATATTTCTAGATGTTAATCCAATGTTCTTAGTTTACTAGAGAGTTACTTTTTGATGTAACAGGAAATCTATAAATAAATTATATAATTATATACTGTTTTTATACGTTCTTAGATTAAAGTAGAAAGTTTTGGTTTTTTTTATTTAGAAAAGAAAGAAAAATCGATTGTTTTTTATTTAGAAAAGAAAGAAAAATCGATTGCAGTGGATTTAATAGACTAATTAGTGAGACATTCATCTATATTAATAAGATGTTCCACAATAGAATAGAATTTTTGTATTTATTTTATGTGTTCTTATATATTTAAGATAATTCAAATTTCTAAGACGTCATATTTCTTGAAATTTCTAAAGCCTTACGTTATATAAAAATGTTACTTTAAAGATATACAACATAAAGTTATTTGTATATGTAATTATAAGTTTAGCCAAAAAAATATTTAAAACAACCCAGTAAGCAAATTGAGCGTAGACTGTGCGCAGATTGGCAGCAAATTTGATCAAAAACCCACAGCAAAACCATAGCCATCTGTCTCTACATTAGGCTACGGTTTTGGCGACAGATCTTGCTGTCGGGTAATTGGTGCCAAATTTGTAGCAAAAACCGCGCAAAGCCTGCAGCGCAGCAAGGTCTGCGCGATTTCTGCCGCCAATCTGCCGTCAAATCGCTACAAGCTCTGCGCAGTTTTTGCTACAAATCTGCAGCAATTATCCGACAACAAGCTCTGCCGCATATCTGGCGGCAATTTGGCAGCAAGATTTGATATAACAGATCCTGCATCAAATTTGTTATCTATTTGCCATCAAAAGTTGATAGCAACCTCTGCTCGAAATATGTTCGCGCAGGTTTGGTTATCTGGGAAGAAATATGTTTAAAATGTTTACAAATACTGACGATCGTATATCGGCAATCTTAGATTACAAATAAAATATTTAAATATTATATTGCATTTCACTTCTTTATACGAGAACATTTACGAGTTTACACAAGAATAATATATGTATGTATATATGTATATGCAGGTGTATAAACACATTCACATATTAGAATATTATATATATGTAATTACACACGCTGGTCTCACAAATTATTCGAAGTACGTGATATCGTCTCGATATCCGAGTGACAACTGAATATTTATCGCATTCGATCGTCATTCAGCACTGTACGGCCTAAGTTTTGTGATAAATCATACAAAAAACAGATGAAGTCCTCTGGATTCTGCATGATCTCTCAATCGAACACTGGCATTTTGATTAAATCAAAATGCAATTTTAGAAACGCAGTCTAAAGCTTATCCAATGCGCTGCTACTCGCAGATGGAACATAATAAGGAATGCTTTGACGATCTAATCCGTGTAGAAATTTATCCAGTTTCTGACTAGTAACGGCCCAGGAATTTTTGATAACTAGCTAATTTTTAGCCAATTTTCTTAGCTAGAAATTGACTGGTTTGGTCGACGCTCACTTCGTCAAAAACTAGACAGTTGAACTAGACAGTTTCAGATCAGTTTTTAACTAGATTTTGATCAGTATCTAACCTGTTTATTAGAACTTTTTAAGTAGTATTTTACTAGTTTCTATGTAGTTTTTGACTATTTTATCAGTATTTTTTTATCGGTTTCTGATCAGTATCTATTTTTTTCAGTTCATTAATAGTTATAAATAATTTAACTATATATGTAGTGAAACAATAATTTTATTAAAATTAAATTTTTATAATTTTTACTTAAAAAAATATTTTTCATCTTTAATATAATATTTTATTTTATTATTTTTCATTCTTGTCATCTTTGCTTTGCCAAATCGACTTCTGCTCGGCTGACGACGACAGCGGCGGCGGTGGAAGCAGTAGTGAGGACTATGTGGAATTTACTTACTAGTGTTTCTTTCCCAGTTTTGCTTATAAACTGACCATAAAATACTATCTAATACTATTCGAGTTTTTTTCTGTCGAGAAACTACAAAACATTTACTTATCATTTTTACTATTTAATTTCTGGCCAGGAACTATCTTCAAAAAATTTGTTAGTAATTCCCGATTTTTTGCTGGACAGAAAATGCACAGCATTTCCTTACCATTTTCCTTGTATAGTTTTTGACAAATAACTGGCTCAAAAATACTGAACAGTATTTTCAGAGTTTTTAATGAACAGAAACTGTCCAGTATTTACTTACTATTTTTTCAAGTTTAGTTTCTGACTAATAAATGACTATGAAAAAATAGCCAGTATTTTCTGCCAAGTTTCTAAACAGTAACTGTCTAATTAATCCTAGCCAGTAAAAACTGTCTAGTTACTGGCTAGTAATCAGTTTTTCCCTGAGATGTTTCTACTTGGGAAATAAGAGGAAAAAAACGAAAAATGAGAGGAAAAAATATTTCAAGTTATATAATTTTTTTTGTGTCGAAATGAACATACCCAGTGAGCACAAACTAACAATAACATAACATCACCCATACAGCACAAATCTTTAAAGGACGTTCTAAAGACGTTCTAAGGACATTCATACATCCTAAGAATGTCCCAGAACATTCTCTAAAGATTTTGTGTTATCTGGACAATGTTATAATTTCTCACTCAACGATGTAACTGTTACAGAACTTGCATGTTATGTAACCATTACATTGTTGTTGATTGACAAATTATAACATTGACGTTATATTATTGTTCACTGGGTAGATTCGTTATTACGACAGTAATGCTTTGTTTTATCGACTTTTTAATAATAAAGGTGACTTGCACGCCTATTAATGTTATTAATGAGCATGAATATATAGTAAGGAGCACATTACTTTTAAGTAACCACTTTATCTCCAATGTTATCTTCTACGTTTTAAAATCGGTGATACTCGTAATATTTGACGAGTATGGCGTTTCGCCATACTATTTGTCACAGCCTACGTTAGTGAGGAATTGAGATAAACTGGACATGTATGCATGTCGCAGTTCGATATTCTGCTCGAATGCCATGTTGTCTATTAAATTAAGAGAGAAATTCGTCGCGTGCTGCCAACTAAAGTAAAGGTGAATACAAAGTTGCGATCAGATTTGAAATTTATATTGCGGAATAGACATGAATTTCATATTATCATATAAATCATATAAAATCATATAAATTATATAAAATAAATCATATAAAATCATATAAAATCTCGGATCGAATATTTTTAAATTGAACTCGTCAATAAATACATATCTTTCGTTTTGTTAAATAATGTTTAAAGAGCGACAAACGTCTAGTTTGATTATTCAAACTCAATTAACTCAATAATTTGTAATACGTGCACTCGCGCATGAACAATGATCTGTCCTTTTTACAAATCTAAAGAATGGCTAAATGCTTTCTCGCTTAGAAATTTACAAATATGCGCTATGACACATATTGATGTTAAATTATTTTGGTAAATCGACCTAAATCGTAGTTTTATGAAATTGGCAAACGAGAATGACTGTTGCTCTTAAGACTCTTGGGACCTTTTTTAGATGTACATACGAATGCAAATGCGTTAATACACTCTCTTAATTCTATTTTATTTTAAGTTTAAATAATAAACTATAATTTCTTAATATTAAATTTAATTTTACTTATATAAATGTGTTATGTGTGGTAATAGTTACGACTAGCATGTCGAAATGAAAAAAATCGTATACGGTTCACAAATTCACACGCTGCAAAAAAGTACCGCGTAATACGATGAGAAACCAAAGTGCATGCGCTGCAGAAAGCATCGCGTTACAATTTTGGTTTATTAGGTAATACTAGGTGGCAACCTAATATCCTAATTTTAAGAATAATATGAAAAGAGAGGAATCAGCTACTGGATCAGAGCTGTTTAGTCTTAGTACGCGCATCTCAAATATAACATATCGACCCGTGTGAGAGTTGAACATAACGGTAACGCGATATGCTAACCGAAACATTGTAACGCGAGTCAAAAAAACTGTATACGTAATGTCGTAATTCCCTTAGATAATCACGTATAGCTTATTTTGAAACTGATTTATTTAAGCCGAGCGCGAGATATCATCAGAAATCAGCGTAAATAATGAAGTGATAAGTAACGCTCGATGTCCCTTACGAAAAAGTAATAACTGGAGCTCAGTATGGTCGAATTTAGCAGTACTTTCAGTACTTATGTCTCAGTATTTAAGTATAGGAAAGTACTGAGATATAAATACTTAAAGTACTACTAAATTCAAGCATATTGTCCACAGTGTTGTCGCTCCAATACTATTTCTTCGTAAGGGAGAGAGGGAGAAGGGAGAGAGAGAGAGAGAGAGAGAGAGAGAGAGAACATGCAACTTTCGTTATAATAACTTTCGTAAAATAGTCCTCGTTTATGTGTTTTGACTGTTAGTACTGTAAAATAACTGTACCTTCTCTCCATCATAAATCGGTCCGTTTTTCAAGATATCGAGTAACAAAGTCACCTCGCCCAAAGTCTCTCTCTCGATGACTTCTTGCCGTCGTCCGAATCCAAAATCCCGCATATTGCGAAGAAAGAATCTCTTCTGTTCTCGCCAGAACGGACCATCGTTGAAAGCTATACCTACAATTTTATAATAAACCCAGTAAACACCGTATAATATACGCGTTATAACAGTTATATTGTTAAGTAATAATAGTTATATTGTTAAGGAAATCGTAACAAAATTGATGTAATATTAATTTTACTTGGTGTTTACTAGGAAGTTAATTGCAAATTCATAAGAGAAGAGTTTAATACTATCTTCAATGTAGTTCTACCATGTAAGCTTTGAATATTTTCGAACGAGAGAATTTACCACATAAAAATGTAAATGTTGCATATCATGTATTATGTAATAGTTACATTGTTATGTGGGACATTGTAACATCGTGTTATGTTAATGATGCTTCATGTTTGTCTATAGAATATTTAAAAGAGGAAATCATATTATAGTTTTCACTATTGCAGATTTTTCAAAAGGCTAATATTGGAATTCTAGATAAAATCATAAAATTCGTAACTTGTTTTTGTAAGACTCGTAAGAACTTATGAGTAGAACTGCAATTCTATGCGGACGTATGTCATATAATAACTCGTAAATATCTATGATTCTTTTTTTTTGTAAGCTACGACTTAATGATTTTACGATTTACTCGTATATTTGCTTAGAATTACAGCATTAGTCAAAATTGAATTAAGAACGAAAATGTTACTGCAACTTATGCGAAATTTATCAAAATTAAGCAAATTTAATATTAACTTACTTGGAGGTGAGTTAGTTTATGGTGAGCAAACTTGTAGAACTTATATGTTAAGACAAATATAATCACTCCAATAAGTAATGGAGTCATATTTGGTGTGATAAAATTTAACTGATATTTCCAAATATGTGGAGGGCTTTATATTGAAGATGTTTTTATGACATGTTTATATTTTTAGTGGATGTGCGCAAAAACAAGCATGATATTATATCACATTTGCGTAATATTATCATCACGTGTAACATTTCATTGCTTCTAAACCAGCAGATATATTTAAAAACATCAATTTATTAAGTATTTTCTGTTTTTATAAAAAAGTAATTATATATACCAAACACAGACCATTATTCTAGCTTATCTAGTAAGCAAAAAATCGTTGATAGAACGTTATTGTGTAACGATATTTATTAATATGCAGTTTCTAATATGCAGTTTTTAATGATTTAATTTTAATGAAAATGTTCAGAAGATACGCGTAATATCAATATTTCTAGATGTTAATCCAATGTTCTTAGTTTACTAGAGAGTTACTTCTTGATGTAACAGGAAATTTATTAATAAATTATATAATTATGTACTATTTTTGTACGTTCTTAGATTAAAGTAGAAAGTTTTGGTTTTTTTATTTAGAAAAAAAATAAAAATCGATTGTAGTGGATTTAATAGACTAATTAGTGAGTCATTCATCTATATTAATAAGATGTTCCGCAATAGAATAGAATTTCTGTATTTATTCTACGTGTTCTTATATATTCAAGATAATTTAAATTTCTAAGACGCCATATTTCTTGAAATTTCTAAAGTTTTACGTTTTATAAAAATACTTTAAAGACATACAATATAAAGTTACCTGCACATGTAATTATAAGTTTAGCCAAAAATGTTTAAAAAAAGAAATGTTTAAACAAAAAAAATGTTTACAAATACTAACGGTCGTATATCGACTATCTTAAATTACAAATAAAATATTTAAATATTATATTGCATTTCACTTCTCTATACGAGAATGTTTACGAGTTTACACAAGAATAATGTATGTATGTATGTATATGCGGGGATGTAAACATATTCACACAATAGAATATTATATATATGTAATTACGATACACATACTGGTCTCATAAATTATTCGAAGTATCTCGCCTTGATATCCGAGTGACAACTGAATATTTGTCATTAATATGGTAGATAGCATTTTCCTAATATAATTCGTATCTTTTATTTTTCCACCTTAACTTCTTACCAAGAAGTATCTATGTACATTCTTTTCCGTATATCTATACTCTTTTTACATTTTTCTTTTTCCTCGCATCTTAACCTATTTATATCTTAACCTATTCTTTTTCCTTTTTCCTTTTTATTCCTTCCTTTCTTTCTTCCTTTCTTTCTTCCTTATAATATCTTTTCTTTATCCTATATGTATCTTAACCTATATTGGCAAATTTCTTTCCTTTTTGGGTTTCTTATCCTTATATTTCTTATCCTATACCCTGGGAGGTTTTGCCACGTTTACCGAGAGTCCGAAAATTTTCCTTTCCTTTGGGAATTAAACCCAGGCCTCTATAGCGTGGTAGACTAGTGTGTAGTCCGCTGTGCTACGCTCGCACTCTTTTCCTAATATAATTAAATATGTTTCTGAATAAAAGGAAACGGAATACCAGGTGTAGAAGTATGAAACCGGAATTTTTTTATACAAATAAGACGTCTGTTGTTCGAAAGTGATAAATAATACTTTATTCAAAATAATTTCCACTGTTTTGAACACATTTTTCCCACCTCTCTGGCAGTTTATGAATGCCGTGCCAAAAAAACTTTTCATCTTTTGAAGCGAACCAGTTATCTAGCCATTTTTCCACATTTTCATACGAATCGAAGCGTTGGTTAGCGAGAGCGTGTCCTAGCGATGCGAACAGGTGATAATCGGACGGAGCCAAGTCTGGAGAATAAGCCGCATGCGGTAGTAATT